ATACACAGCAGGGGTCCACGGCGGAAAGCAGCGGCAATTCATTAAAAAATTTATTAAAATTTTAAAAAATTCATCTTCACCTTTCCACTCCTCACGCTTTGGAAAAAAGGAAAAAAGAATGAAAAAAAAAGAAAAAAGGAAAAAAGAAAAAAAGAAAAAAGGAAAAAAGAATGAAAAAAAAAAGAAAAAAGAAAAAAAAAAAAGAAAAGAAAAAAAGAAAAAAAGAAAAAAAGAAAAACCCACAAAAAAATTTCACCTTGTTACCGTGTGGCCACACCAAACTGTCTGTATATTTTGCCCGCAAAAGAAAATTAAAAGATATTTAAATGTCTTTCAACCGCCTGACCTTCCGTGTGTGTCCGCGCATCGTTTATATTTCACGGGGTCATCTGCGTGTTGCTGCTCCCCTCAGCCCTCCCATCGGCGCGTGACTGCGGCCCGCAGAGCACAGTCACTCGTGTGTGGGGACTGAGAGAAGCACGCAGACATGACGGCAGTCGCGTCACTCCATCGGGAGAGTGAGCGCAGCAAAAGAAAAGAAATCATCGGAGAGAAAAGAAATGCTCACGAAGCCGACCCCGAAGGGTGCGCCAGCGCAAAAAAAAAAGAAAACAGTGAGAAAGTCAAAGAGAGCAAGCAAAATTCATTTTTTAAAGCGGCAGGGTGTGGCTGTGTGTGTGGCGCTGCGGGTGTCTGCCCGCCCTGACCGCTAAAAACAAAACAAGAGGGGAAGAAATGTGTGCTCCGCCCCACAGGCCCTCGTCGCACGCCCACACGTCACGGCTCCCTCAGCGCGCCCTTCGTCGCGGCCCCTCCTCATGCGTGCAGCAGGCGAGGCGCACAGGGCCGTCGTCATGAGCGTGTCGGTGGGTGTGCGAGTGGAGCAGTTGGGCGGGAAACACACGGCACCCCTCACAGGAAGAGTGCAGCAATAAAAAATTAAAGAGGGAATAGTAAAAAAAAGAAAAGTCCATGGTGGTTGTCCTAAATCATCAAGCAAAAGAAGGGAAGTAAATTTAAAAAAAAGAGAGATTATTCTCCACGGAGCAAAATGTATTCCTAGCGGTGTGTGTGTGTCGCTGCAGAGGAGAGCGCAAGTGTTCCGCACTGAGGGCGCACACTCCTCACGCAGCCGCAAAGCCCCACAGTCCCAACAGAAGAAGAAGCAGCGGCAGCAGTCCGCTCCCAGCAGATGTCAAGCCCACCACAGCCGCATGTTCTCTGGCGGCAGCTCCCTCCAGAGCTGCCCACCCCGCCAGTGCTCCCCCCGGGCCATTCAAAGTGTGGGCCTTGTCCTTGAGTGCATTTATCTCGGTGTAATTCAGTGGGCGGTTGTACAGGAAGACGTTTTTCACCGTCACCTTAGTTTTCTGGCCGGCATCCTCACCGCACGCGCCAAAGCAAAAGCGTACAAGCTCAAGTGGCGCCTCACCCGTTAACGGCACCTCTTCCTGCCTCAGAAACGTACCATCAATGTACACAGAGGCCTTTTTGCCTTGCAGCATGAGTGCCACTTGGTATCCCTTCTTCGGCTCCCAACGGCCGCTCTGTGTTGTTTTCTTGCCTTTGAGCCACGTCCCCCACTTCTTATCCGCCGTATACGACAGTCCCATGGTATGATTGAAATTGGCGTCCGCCAACGTCGCAGTCAGTAGAGGAGAGCTCCCACTCGGAGTCTCTTCGATGGTCACCGAAGCCACAAGTGTGAAGTTGTGGCTCAAGGATACATGACGCACATTATTAGCCCGAGTGTTCACGGACCATGACACCCTGGAGCTAGGCTCCGTCAGTTGAAATCCATATCTGACCTTCCTTGCATTAGGCGTCACCGTCGCATTCAGGCAAAGGTACTCGTCGATCCACGTGTCGCCACCGGGACATGCGTTGGACAAAACTGCCACCAGGCCCCGCCGG